GGAATTCGACTTCGGTGATGTCAAAGGTGCATTTCTCCGGTTTGAGGTAGAGGTCGTGTTGTCGAAGTCGTTCGATAACACGTCGTGTTCATTCCTCATGTTCTGCCTTGTCCTGGGAAAAGATCAGGATGTCGTCCATGTAGATGCAAAGCCAGCCTTCTTGAAGCATGTCTGCAAATATAGTGTTCATCATCTGCTGGAACGTAGCGGGGGAATTACACAGCCCAAAGAACATCACCATTGGTTCGTACAACTGCGGTGGTTTGCCATCAGTTCCGGGTACAATGAACGCTGCCTTCCATTCATCCCCTTTCTTGATTCGGACGTTGTTGTATCCGGCGCAGAGGTCCATCTTCGTGAACACCTTGGTGTGCTTCAACTTGTCGAGGAGGTCCGATATAAGCGGGAGCGGGTATCGATCCTTGACTGTGTTCTCATTGAGCAGCTGGTAGTCTTGACAGGGACGTAGTGAACCGTCCTTTTTACCGACAAAGAAGAATGGACTTGCCAACGGGGATTTTGAAGGGCGAATGTACCCTTTACTCAGGTTCTCCTCGAGGAACTTGTCGAGTTCCTTTCGTTGCTGCGGGTTGAGCGGATAGACCTGTTGCTTCATGTCCGCGAAGCCCTCCTTGAGGTTGATTTCGTGGTCATATTTGGTGTGGTCTGGAAGTCGCACAGCAGTGCCTTTGTCGAAGACGGGGAGGAGATCATGTAGGTAGGATGGTACCATCTGTGGTAGCATTTTTTCTGTCTTGCCTTGGGCGTTCGAGGCTGCAAGTTCGGTGGAAGTTGTGACTTGCCTAATGTCGTGGTGGATCTTCCAGATCATGCCGTTGTGGAGTCGTTTGTAGCCGGACGAGAGTTCGGGGAGTCGTTCCTTGAGCGGAACATCCCTTACTGCTAGGGATTCCTGTTTCTCGTACTTGGTGATCATTGGTGTTCCTGATAAGTAGGAAATGATGAACTCATCATCGTCGATGTCCTCCGCTTGTTCTTCAATGGACGCAATACCTGTTGACCCAAACCCATCCTCCCCGTGTTCCGTTTTGTCAGTGTGGTCGGTTAGTATTACTGATGGGGTGCTTATCCTTTCAAGGATGAGCTGAGCAACTCGGTCGCCGGCTTTGATGGTGAATGGGAGGTCGGAGTTGTTGACCAGCAGGACTGAGACCTTGCCTCGGTAATTGGAGTCGATTACTCCTGCAGCGACATCAATTTCCTTTAGTGCTAGACCGGACCGAGGTGCGATTCTTCCGTAGTGTCCTTCGGGGATAGCCATGACAAGATTGGTGCCGACCAGGCCTCGTCGTTGGGCAGGGATGATAAGTTGATGCGCAGCAGAGATGTCATATCCTGCTGCACCGCTAGTCTTTCGTTCGGGGAGGGTTGCGTGCTCCGAGGTGGAGATGATGACGAATTCGTCCTCCATTGGTTCTGGGAGTGGGGTAGTTATGGCCTTCTTTAGTTCTAGCCGAGCCACTCGCCTTTGGTACAGGTCCATCTTCCAGGCCCTGGTCTCGTCTTTCATCCATCGGTGGTTTAGCTCAACTTGTCCGGTTTTCCAGTCTATCTTGGGGTTTTCGAGCTTGAGCCAGGTATGGCCGAAGATGATGTCTTCCTTGCCGATGCTGGCGATGTAGGCTTTGACAAATCGGGGTTCTCTGCTTATCTTGTAAGATAAGAGAGTTCTTTGCATAATAAGTGCTTCTTTGTTCAGAGTTCCATCCACGTTGAAGACGGGGATGGGTCGGGGAAGAGGTTTTGTCCGAAGTCGATGTTCTCGGACGAATCTCGGGCTGATGAAGATTCCTGTTGCGCCGCTATCGATGAAAGCGCGCGCCTTGACGTCTTTTCGTCCCACAGTAATCGGAATGTGCAGAGCGCGTTCATTTCGGACTACTAGAATTACACGGGACAGTGAAACGGATACGGGCAGTGGTTGCGTCGGCTCACCCTGCCCCTTCATAAATCCTCCATCGTAAGTTCTTCGTACAGCTCCCGCTTCTCGTCAGCGGAGAGTGCCTTGATTCTGGCACGGAAGTCGTCCTTCCCAGATCCTCCCTGGTTCGGCCTCCCACCCCCTTGTCGTGCGGCCGCTTTCTTGCGGCAATCCTTGGTGCTGTGACCCTTGATGTGGCAGTAGAAGCACAAGTTCCCGTCCCTGTGGAGCTTTCGATCGGCCTCGTTGAGAACAGCTCCTAGTTCCCATTTCCTTCCTCCCGATGTGGAGGCGAAGGTTGATGCGACAGCAGCGGCATCGATATCCATTGGTTTGCCATAGTCCCTGGTGTCTGTGATGACGAGAGCCCCCTGCTTGGCTGCGTCGGTGTTTCGAACCTCGTCGTACCAGGCCTTCATGGTGTTGGGTCGATCCCTAGCGACCCTTGTTGCGAGAGCAAAATACAGCTCCTTCGGGAGTCCTTTGACGAAGTTGGCGTGGAGAGTGTGGTAGTCGTTCTCAACACGGTTGGTGCCATTGACCTCGGCGTCCTTGAGCTGAGCCTTTGATGCCAGCTGCTTGAAGCGGGTGACGTAGTTACTGAGGGAGAGTGCCGTTTTCCTATCCCTCTGTCGTTCAGGTAGTTTCATCAGGATTTGGTGTGCCTTGATTCACGTTCTGTGCTCAGGGAACACCTCTTCTAGGGCAGCGACGAAGTTTGCCCATGTGGAATAGACCTGGACTCCTCCTGCCGACTTCTCATAGTATGCGTCCGCCCATGTCTTCCCCAGATCCTTCCTCATCAGCGCTACAGTGAAGGCGATCTTTGCTTCATCGCTGAGTCGGGTGTTGTTGGTGGCGACGAAGTAGGAGAGGATGCATTGGATGAAGCGTCTGAGGTCCTCTGCCTTTCCGCTGAAGGGTTCGGGAGCGGGGATGTCGAGGTGAAGGGGTCGGTTGGCCGTTGACTGCTGGGATTGGTATGCTGCGAGGGCGACAGCGATGCGCTGATCGATGTCTGCTTGAGTGAATGTTGCCATAGGGACTTCAACCGGTGCATTGGTTGATGCGGGTGGAGCTGGTGGTAGTTTGATGTCTGGGATCTCGATGGGAACATACTGAACTTCAGGGAGTTCGAGTGGTTGTTCGTTGATGGGTGACTGCACGCTTTCTGTTGTTTGTGTAGGTTCGACGTCAATCCGTAGGATGGTGAATACGTCTTCTGGGTGAGCGGGTGGGTGTCTCTGGTAGTAGCTAACGAGTTCTTGATGGGCAACGACCTGTGGGTTTGGACCGGTTGCACGACACCAGGTGCCGCCTCGAGGGTAGATGGGAGCCCTTTTTGTGGAGGTGATGAAGCAGCAATCTGCTCGGTCGTACTGGATGAGCGGTGATTCTGCAAGGGCTGGTAGTCCCAAAGGAACCAGGTTGACTGCGTTGTTCGACGTAATGGTGGATGAGATGTTCGACTAGGTAAAACTAGGAATGTAGCTTAGAAAGTTCGACCTTTTGATACAACGGTCTATACTCCTATATCAATGCCTGACTCGTAGACGACGAGCGAGGGCTTATGGACAGTACGTCGTCCTGAAGATCGAGCAAGGAAGTCGAGAATGACCACTACCCCAAGCGAAGAGGAGCAGAGACTTGAATGAATAACTAGGTTGAACTTAGGGTTCGACCGACTAATGGTACAACTAGTTATACAAGTACCGACTATGCATAGACCACTGTATCTGTGTGGTCGTGTTAGTAAAGAAGGAAACATAGTGGTACGATACCAGGCACGAAGTGCGCATGGACCCCATTATGTAAGCTACATAATGTTCAACCCGCAGGTGAGCGCTAAGACGGGCACCAGTATGGGCGCTAGTAGTACAAGAAATAGAATGGAAAGATAAATGTTTCAGTAGGTGTAAGCTAGCTAGCATGGCCTTTCATAGTACACGCACCTCCCCTTCCTCCCTCCATTGTGGCTGCCTGCCAAGGCTGTATCCACACCTTCAACTCAAAGGACCTCATTGACGTCTATATTACAGATGGCCCCACTGCTCTTGTCTTTGCCTGTGAGTAGCAGCTGTGCCCCAACTGTACTCCTCGATCTATCGAGCAGGATAACAAATGATACAAAGCGATCTGAAGGGCCCAACATCCACTTGGCCCTCGCAGCACCCTCGCATCCCAATCTGCCTCTCATCATTCCCGCCCTGTCTCCCCTAGCTCCCGCATACCCCGGCCAATCACTGGTCCAAGTCAAATGCGAGGAGACCCCGATCTCCCTCCAGACCCTGCACCAGAGTCAAAGCCTAAGGAGAGTGAAAAAGGAGACGAGGACCCCAAGTCCCTCTCTGCTGCATCCGGCAGCCCTGATCAGCCTGTATCGCCGACTCCGATCCCCTCCACATCTGCAGTCACTAACGTACATCACCCCCCCCGCCGGGCTTCCTCCAGCACCTCCACCATCATCGCTGCTATGAGGCCACTCACGCACTCATTCCCCCCGAAGTCCGCCTGGCGGATAGCCACAACCACCACCTCCACCTCTGGGCCATCCTCTGTCCCCCCCGCTGCCAGTAATGTTTTCCCCTGCAACCCCTATCGACAAGGAGACCCTGAAGCACCTCCTTCCCCTTCGATACAATGGGAAGGCCGTGATAGAATGCAACCAGTTCATCTCCCAGTTGCTCATTTACTGGAGTATCAACACCGCCCTCTCCACCATCGAGCTCAAAGTGCAAGTTGCATTAAGCCTGCTTGATGGCGATGCCTGCACCTGGGCCACCCCAATTTTTGCCCAACTTGCATCCATTGCTGTCAGAGTGCAAGAGGCCATAACACTGTTTGCCGATGTCAAGGCTTTCCTCACAGTGTTCAAAGGCCACTTTGGCAACCTTGACGACGCTGCGTCTGCGTAGGTGGAGCTCACCAAGCTCTGCACTGACAAATCAATGTGTGAAAGATGCACTGCCGCAGAGTTCTCTGCATTGTTCAAGGGTTCGGCGGACTGTTCTGGGTATGGCGACCTGGAACTCTGTAACAAGTACCTGAGTGGCATCCCCTCCCATGTATGCCGCAAGATCGAGCTCGAAACATTCACCACGTGGGAAACCACTGAAAAGTGCGCCACAAAAGTTGAATAACAACTCGACATCAGCCGGGCCCATCGGCCCAAGTTGAATAATTTCTTCTTGTCTTGAGGAGGAGGACACAGCAGAGCATGTGGTGGTGCACCCTGATTGCAAGGTGCCTCGGCCAGCATCAATGCGGCCGTTGGCAAAGGAGACTTCCCTGGCAGTTGCTATGGCTGCAGGAAGAAAGGGTACTGACACTTTGAGTGTCCTGACTGTAAGGACAAACCTTACACAAAATGCGCTAACGTGCAGGCTACGGTTGCCTCGGGTTCTACCCAGGCCGTGACAAGCACCCCCATTGCTTCATCCTCAGCAAGTGCCGCTTCAGCCCATCCAGAGAAATCTAAGTCGCTGTCGGACTTGATGGTGCAGGTGAAGTTGATGTGCGAGGAGTTGGAGCACTATCGGGCGATGAAGGAAGAGTCTTTTTGATCTGGTCTGCGCTTCATGCCGCACACGTTGGACCGCGTAATAACAATCTGTACAATGTATTGGTGACTGCGAATGTTTATGAATTGGACCACGGGTCCCAGCATTTTCACATTCCAGTGCGCCTCAAAGGAGAAAGACGGCACAAGGACATAGTTGCAATGGTGGACAGCGGAGCCACCACAAAGTTTATCAACAAACATTTCATCCAGGAGAATCGAGTACGCACGCAGAAATTGAAGGAACCAATTCCGCTTTACAATATTGATGGAACACTCAATAAAGATGGAAGCATCTCGGAAGTAGCTGTGCTACAGATGCAGATAGGAGATCACGTCGAAAAAACAGTGTTTATGGTCACGGACATAGGTCCAGAGGATGTGATTGTTGGGTTGGACTGGCTATGCGAGCACAACCCCGAGATTGATTGGGAGACAGGCTCATTCAAGCTGTTACGATGCCCTGAAATGTGTGGTGCCAGGAAGATTGGCCAAATGGAGCAAGCAGTGACTGCGCATGATATGGAGGTCAGGCCCACAGCGTGCAGGCGCTCACCGAAGTCCAAATAGTCGGTCATAGGTGCATGCTGGAGTTAGGTACTCCCGGACTTCGAACCCGAAGATGATCCAGAGGAAATTGTGTGGATGGAAGCTGACTTGATCAAAGCTTGGGGGCAAGGTATCATGCTCCCAGGCACTCCTCAGCTGTTCGTCACAGCAGAACATACATACTTCCAGCTGTTCGCTGAGGAAGAGATCAAGAAGAAGGTTGTTAAGACCGCTGAGGAGTCAGTGTCAAAGCAGTACCATGAGTTCCTGAATGTCTTCTCCAAGGAAGCATCAGAATGGTTACCTGAAAGGAAGCCATATGATCATGTGATCGAACTCATGCCTGGCTACTCAATGTTCCACTCGAAGGTGTACCCCTTATCGAATGATGAGCAGGAGGAACTGGATAAGTTCCTAAAGGAGCAGCCGGTGAAAGGTTACATATGGGAGTCGAAGTTGCCCATTTCGTCCCCCTTTTTCTTCATCAAGAAAAAGGAAGGGACACTTCGACCCATGCAGGATTACCGCCAGTTGAACACGATCACTGTCAAGAATCACTATCTGCTGCCACTGATCGCCGAGATGGTAGATAAGCACCGAGGTGCTACACTCTTCATGAAGTTCGATGTCAGATGGGGATACAATAATGTCTGGATCAAAGCTGGTGATGAGTGAAAGGCTGCCTTTATGACTAACCAGGGATTGTACAAACCCCTGGTGATGTTCTTCAGTCTTACCAATTCCCCCGTGACCTTCCAGGCGATGATGAATGAGATCTGTCATGATCTCATCATCGGTGGCAAGGTCTTCATGTACCTGGATTGTCGCGACTTGGGGTCAAGCGACAGAGAACAAACAAACACGAAGGCTGGGGGCGTTTGACTGGGTCTCACTGAAGTGATGGTGAGCAATGCTCAAACCTAAGGCTAGGGACAAGAATATATTAGTTAGTAAAGAAAAAGAAGTAAATACATGAGAGCTTACTGACCTAGGGACAAGAGGTTGAAACTGAGGTCCCTAGGGCAGCAGAGGCTGGTTTATATACATGGGGGATTTAGGGCAGGCTGTGCACATTGGTCCGTGTGCAGCTGGTCTGTGCACAGCATGCTGACGCAGCCCCGGGGGCCGGTGAGTTAGCGCGGCTGTGTCAGCAGTGCCTGGGCTATGCCGTGCACTGCCACCCCATCTAATCTCATCGTACAGTAGATAAGGACTTGTCCGTTCAAGCGTATGGTACAGAGGTCGTGGGTTCGAGCCCGCGAAAAGGAAAAAATTAAAAAACGGCTAGATGCCGTGTCAACTTGTGACATGGATGACATCCTTGTCTTCTCCACCAACAAAGAGGAGCATGAGAAGGTCACATGCGAGGTTCTGCGCCGCCTTCAGGAAAACAATCTGTTCCTGAAGCCTGAGAAATACGAATGGGACGTTCCCAAGGTCGACTATGTCAGCTATGTGTTCGGTGGCGATGAGGTAGTGATGGATCCTGCGAAGCTGAAAGGCATTAATGAGTGGCCAGTACCCCAGAACAAAAAAGATGTTCAGAAGTTCTGGGGGTTCTCCAATTTCTACCGCCGCTTCATTAAGGACTTCGCTAAGATCTTGCGACCACTTGACCGACTCACAGGAAATGACCTCTGGCATTGGGGAGATGAGGAGCAGCATGTGTTTGATGAGCTCAAATGGCTCTTTGGCACAACCCCTGTTCTGGTGCTGTATGACCCTAATCGGGAAACACGCATTGAGGTTGATACCTCGGGGTATGCCACCGGTGGTGTACTGATGCAGAAGTAGGACAATGGCAAATGGCATCTGGTCGCCTTCCGATCTCACGCTATGGACCCTGCCCAGCGTAACTACGAGATCTACGATAAGGAGATGCTCGCGATCATTGAAGTGCTGGACAATTGGTGCCACTATCTCGAGAGACTTCCCACTCAGTTCGAGATCGTAACTGACCACAAGAACCTTGAGTACTGGTGCATGTCACAGCACCTCACATGTCGTCAAGCGCGATGGTCGCTATTCCTCGCCTGCTTCGATTTCTGCATCACGCATAAGGCTGGAACATCAAATGGAAAGGCTGATGCCCTGTCACGCTGATCAGACCATCAGGTCGGCGATGAGGATGACAACACCGATCAGATTGTCCTCAAACAGGAGCACTTCTGCATTGCTGCCACACAGCGTGGGCACACCTCGGTGATAGCCGATCAGTCGCTTCTAAGGTGCATCAGAGAGTGCTCGGAGAAGGATTGGGTAGTGGCCAAGGCACTTGAAAAAGTACAGAACCTCGGGCCACCTCAGTTGCAGAAGGGTTTCAAGGAGTGGAATGCCAAGCAAGGGTTTCTGCTGTTCCACGGGTGCGTATATGCCCCAAAGAACGCGGAGCTCTGGTGGGATATTGTCAAGATCCACCACGACTTGCAGATCGCTGGTCATGGCAGTCGTGCCAAAACCCTCGAGCTCATGTCACAGAACTACTGGTGGCTGGGAATGTCCAAATCCATTAATGAGTACGTAAGCATCTGCAAAGTGTGCAACCATACCAAGACATTTCCAGCCAAGCCCCAGGGTCCGCTGAAGCCGAATGAGATTCCCGAGCGCCCATGGCAGATTATCACCACCGATATGATCGTTGGCCTGCCAAAGTCTAATGGATTCAACTTGATCCTGGTCACCACCGACTGCTTTACCAAGCAGGTCCACTTCTCAGCCTGTCATGAGACCCTGATGGCATGGCAAACTTGTACATCCGTGATGTGTTCAAGCATCATGGGGCCCCAGCCAAGGTCATATCAGACTGAGGTCCCCAGTTTGCGTCCAAGTATCTCCATGCAGTATACAAAGGACTTGGGATCGAGCAGGTGCTATCTATGGTGTTTCATCCTCAGATGGACAGCCAGACCGAGCGCTGGAATCAGGAGATCGAGCAGTACCTGCGCGCTTTCACAAGCCACAGGCAGGATGATTGGGCCAAACAGTTGCCACTTGCCGAATTCACATTGAACAATAGAGTTCACTCAGCAACCGGGCACTTCCCCTTCTTTCTGAATCAGGCTTATCGCCCTGAGATCCATGTGCGGATCAATCCAATGTCCACAATGCCTGCAGCCGCAGATCGGCTTAAGATCCTGAAGGAGATCTGTGATGATACGCGCTCTGCGCTGGAGCTGTCAGCTGAACGAATGAAGGTGTACTATGACAAGCATGTGCAGGAGGCACTGGTCTTTGCGCCGGGGGATAAGGTCTGGCTCGATGCTCGGAACCTTAAGCTGAAACAGCCGAGCAAGAAGCTCAGTTCCAAGCGCCTCGGGCCATATGCCGTGCGGCGAAAGCTCGGAGACTTAGATTATGAGTTGGTTCTGCCAAAGTCGGTGCCTGTGCACCCGGTGTTCCACGTCTCCTTGCTTAGCAAGTACATGTGTAGCGAGATCCCGGGCCAAGAGCCGGAGGAGCCACCCGCCATTGAGGTGGAAGGCGATGAGGAGTATGAGGTTGAATGAATCAAGGATTCAAGGATCTTCTGGCGTCAGCTGCAGTACCTCGTCAAGTGGAAGGGTTATGACGACTCGCATACGTCATGGGAACCGGCGCGCAACGTTGCCAATGCGCCGGCCCTCATAGCCGACTTCCACCGGAAGAACCCGAATGCCCCTCGCCACCTCAATGCTACTACCTTTGGTGGTCTCAACTTTCAGCCAATGCCTTCGCCGCTGACTGAAGCATGCTACCGCTCTGGGTGGGAGATGGGCAAGGGTGCCTCGCATGAGGTCATGTGCCATTGAGGGGGGGGGGTAATGTCACGAGTTGGTATGACATCTAGCCATCTTTTAATTTTTTCCTCTTTGCAGGCTCGAACCCATGACCTCTGTACTATATGCTCAAATGAACAACCCTCGCCGGCACATCACGTTCTCCTGTAGTTTAGATTAGATAGGATGGCAGTGCACAGCACAGCCCAGGCCCCACTGACACAATTGCTATGACACATCTGCCTGTGGCCACATCAGCAGGAAGTGTGCACAGGCTGGACATGCATGGACCAACATGCACAGCCTGCCCTAAATCCCCCATGTATATAAGCCGGCCTCTGCTGCTCTAGGGACCTCAGTTTTGACCTCTTGTTCCTAGGTCAGTAAGCCCCTGTACTTACTTACTTTCCTATGCTAATTAACTTGTCTCTAGCCTTAGGTTTGAGCTTTGCTCACCATCATTTCGGTAAGACCCAGTTGAACACCCCCAGCCTTTGTTTGTTCCCTGTTGCTTGACCTCAAGTTGCAACAAAAACAACTTATTCCAAAAGAACTATGTGCTGCATTCATGATGCTGCACCTTTATACCCATCTCTTCTTTGAATTTCTGTAATAGTGCATCTCATCAACAAAGTGCGCTACTAGATAACAAGTGTACTTACTTGTCACCTGTGGCACTTGTTCTTTTACATCTCAAGCTTTTAAAAGCCAGCTCACCATCCCCATATTGTGGGGATGTTTTGACATCTGACACTCCCACCTTCTTTCATGGAGTAGTGACCATCCAGTCAGCATCGGCAGGAAGGGGAGGTCAATGAACTCAAGCTGGCCATCTCCTGGCATGCTGGGCTGTGTCTTTCTTGATGGCCTCATGGGCATCCATATTAGTGACAAGTGCTGGAATGGCCTGTGGAGGTGCTGACATCATAGCTGAAAATGTTGTGTGAGAGGTGGGTACATGTAGTATAGGCTGTGGGAGTGATAGCAGCCCAGGCTATGGGAATAACAGCTGGGAGTCCAGCAGGATGCTCGGGGTGGTGTGCATAACACTTAGAGTGGTGGCCAGGACGTTCAGGGAGACACTTGGGATGGTGGGCAGCTGGAAGCCCAGAAGGATGCTCAGGGCAGTGTGCTGGGTGGCGGTGTGCAGAAAACTTGGGGCAGTGGGTAGCTGGGAGTCTGGCAGGACACTCAGGATGGTGTGCTGGATAGTGGTGTGTGATACGTGCAGGGTGATGGATGGGGGAACAAACGTGGATGGGGGGGATGGAGAAGCACACAACTTAGGCACAGCTGTGGAAGCGGACACATGAGGCACTGAATCAGCCATACTCAATTCAAAAAGCACCACCACTGACATACCTGGCTGCCATGAGAATCCAGATTGCTAGAATTTTGTCATCTTGGAGTCCATCCCTCTTGCTATAACATCCACTACTGCCCAATCAATGTTTCCCAGATCTTCAGTCAGGTTGCCATAGTCAACGGCTGGTGTCTCACTTGAGAACAAGGAAGGGGGAGCTAAACTAGCAGATTATTCCAGCAATGGCTATACAGGTTCCTTGTTCCACACCTCACTGCTTATGTCTGGCCTTGGTTCAGGTGACCTTGAATTGCTCTGTATGAACACTTCACGTGAGTCCTGAGCTATCGTCATTGTTAGTTTGCTTTCTTAATGTGGTGAAACATGCATCAAGTTGGACTCACGAAAGGCTTCCTTTAGATAACTTCCATAATTGGCGAGGAGAGCTTCCCAGTGCTCACACGATGTTGCAAAATTTACACTGCTTGGCATTTTGCCAACATGGAAACTGATGTGATTAATTAAGGGGTTGTGTCAAGAACAAGGACATCAGATATGTACAACATTGACTCTAGCTTGCCACCTGCCTTTGGTGATGGTCCACTGAATATCATGGTGCTATGCCAGCCTGTCACATGCACAACTGTGTTGAGAACATATTTGAAAAACACCGCAAGGTGATCTTGCATCCTTGAATCAGACCATTGAGAGACTGTCTTTGCATTGTAGACTGGCAAATACTTACACCTGGTATTCTGCTGGTGTAGGCTGAGGGAGAGGCACTTCTGATATGCTGTGCTTGAGTGACCTTTGTTGCCTTGTGAACACAATACCTGCCTAATAGATACAGTTCACCACAAAAGCATTGATAGGATTGCTTGATTCAGAATGATCACTCTATATCTCTGCAACAGGGGTAGCTACTTACATGAATGTTGCTGCGTTAGAACACCCTACATATGAGCTTTGAAACGCAGCCAGTCATGTAATTTGCCTATTTACTTCTCATGCAGTGAAAGGATCTTTGAGGTCATGTCTTATCAACGCTTTTGTGGTGGTCACTCTGAACAACAGAATTCATTGCTAGTAATTCTTTACAGATGTCTAGCATGTATCTCCCAGCTGGACATTGATCCATAGTACCCAATCTATCATTGAGAGGCATAAACAAGTGTGGGAACCCTGCCAAAAGTAGCATACAACCTGCCTTTTTAGGTGAATTTGACATTCTGCTATTTCATGTTATTGAGGCACATACCTATGCCAGGCTGGTACTTGTACTTATCTAATCCATTTATAGGAGTATATATAACATACCACAAGCAGGTTCTACCCTCACAGACACTCTGGAGGCTTTGCAACAGGCAGTTACCC